AGTGAAGAAGTTGTTGATATGGATGAATAGTGATATAGATCTGGATCTATACAGATAGACAGTGACTAAGTTTGGGATCCACATGGATGACTAGTGAAGTAGGTTTTAATCTACACGGATGAGTAGTGAATAGGTGTGAATCTTGACAAATAATTAGCCAAGTAAGTGTAACTCTAAATGGATAACCAGTTGGGCCGGCGTGAGTCTGGATGAAATGAGGATGACCAGTGAGGTACATGCGAGGAAGGTGTAAATCCACACAGCCAGGTGACCGATGAAGTAGATGTAAATCGATATGAAAGACAAATAAAGTACGCGTGAATTTAGATGGATGATCGGTGAAGTAGGTGTGGATCTACATGAATTACCAGAGAGCTTACGGACGAACACCGGCAAGACAACGGGAAGTTACCGATAGCAAGTCACCTGATTGACCAATGTGACCTTGAAATGAAAAAATTCCTGAATACAAAAAAAAAACAAACATTATACATACTTGAAATCTAAGAAGTAAGTAAATCCCCAAAAGTAACAATGCTGTGGTAAATATATATTATAAATTCACCACAAAAACTTGTACCATTGGGGGACCCTCCAGTTCCTCAGTTCCAAAATGCTAGCACACCTCAGTGTGTCTGCGCCGCCGCTTACCGAGGAATCTGTCAGGCCCGTGTGTCCGCTTATCTCCTAGGTCTCTGGAAGCCCAGGTTGGTCTTTAGAAAAAGTCAACCGATCGAGGCCCTAATTGTCTACCTCTCAGGTAAAGTCCTCGGGTCGAAGTAAGCGGCTGAGAAACGCCCCCAATACCATGTTTGTCTCCCCATAATGGCGAGATGTTGTCAGGCTTGAGTTGAATAGCGATCTAATGAAACGAACCACGTTCGTACTTTAAATAGATAAAATATTTCACAATACATTGAAATATCTAGGAACTTGCAACGTAAGTACTTTAAAAAGACGCACATCTGACATTGATCGAACTATTGCGTAGTGCTTTCAATTGCTCGGCTGTATAGCTCAATAGGGGTAATACAATTTGGTCTGCTAAGTATCGCATATTATTAGAGAGAGAGAGAGAGAGTGAGTGAGTGAGTGAGAGCAGTTAGTTACCAAAAAATGTATTTAAAAAAAAAGTGCTATTTTTCTGGAAAAAAAACCCTCTTTAAATACTGAAATTACCTTTACTACTGTCATATACAATATCCATTCATGATTAATATTTATAATTAGATTTATTCAATTCATTACTTTGCTCACAGTTCGTGTTTCCAGAACAGAAAACGTACTGTAGCAATACTAATATAATATCACAATAATTACAGTCTGTTTTCTTTCAAATTATTTTGGGTATACTTTGGTTATATCATACTTTTGTGTCTTCTTTTGCATACAACTTTGTTAATAGCGCATTTTCAACGTTTCTGTGCACTCTTAAGAGCTTGGTTTCCATGGTTATATTCAACAATTATACATGTACTTTGTTTACAGCCTTTTTTTTTTAAATAGGCATTTTCCATCTTAATTGGGAAATGAAATTAAACGCATAAGATAGATGCTATTTAACCTACCATTTAAAGTTGACTTTGCTCCTATAAAACGTATTCCATACGTTCATTATTACATTGCTTACTTATATGACGCGCCGTTTTAAGACAGGTATTTCCTGACTTAAATAAATATTGACGTCAACAATTTGAAATATTAATATCTAAAATGATATCAAGAAATAAATTACTGATATCATAAAATCTATTTTCTGATATCAAAAAATGAATTTTGATTGCAGAAAATCATCTATTATATAAAAAAGTTGACCATGATTTTCTGACATAAAAAATGCTGAGACGTTACGCACATACGATGTTGGTGTTAAATTTGGTAACGTTATAAATGCCGTTTTCTAAACTAAGCACACACTGAAGAGTCCTAATTTCATCCAAAAAGAGATTTTTCATATCAAAATATTGATATTTTATTTTTAAAAAATGTAAGCGACATTAAGAGAACTCATGCTCCTACAATGTTTATCTCATTTCCCTGTTTTGTTTTGTTTTCTTCTTCATCTTCTTCTTATTATTATTATTAAAAATTGGAGTTGTTGATTTAAAAAAATACGGTTTCCGTTTCAAGAATTTTCAATTTTCTGAGATCAAAATCAATTTTCTGATATCGTGATCTTCGATATCAAGAAATCATTTTTTTAATATCAGAAATTAAATTAGTTTTCTGATAGCAAATACATGTAACTGAATACTTTCTATCAAAAATCTTTTTTCCCCGAATTTCTGACATCACATTTTTTTTTCGATATTAAAAAAATCAAAATTATTATATCAAAAAATTATTATATTCTAATATGAGATTACAGAATTTTACATAACAAATATCTCATTTACATTTTGATACCAGAAAACTTCTTAAGGTTTCAAACGGCACCTCATATAAAGACAACGTCTTATGTTCATTTGTTTGGACTTCCAGTTCTTGGCTTACATTCTCTATTTTCCATAATGCATTTCTACCACTGCTTCACTTACGGAAGGATACAGTTCAAAGAGGAGAGACAAGAGAGTTATAAAACTAAACAAACTACAACTATTTACTTTATTAAACTACTCTATTAAAAAATACATGTACAAACTGTAATCGATGCATGGTTCTTTAATTTTGATTTTTTATATTATCATTTATATGTTATTCTATCAGTATGACATGTGATCTCAGATACATGTGTATCAAAACATCCAATCCACTTCTGATGTTAAAATGATTTGCATGTATATCTGAATTCAAAGTCTGGCTATCAGAAAATCATTTCTTGATACCAAATAAAACAAAACATATTCCAAGTATTAATCTCACTGATTTCTGAAATCGGAAAATCCTTTCTAATTTGTCGACATCCAAATTCAAATATTTTCTTGATATCAGAAATTTTTTTTGAAGAAAAATCCCACTAATTGACTGACATCGGAAAACCATTTGTAATGACCCGAATACATTAGAGGATAAATTATCGTTGACAACCCAAGGATGTTTTACATTGATTCTCTCTATCGGGGGGTGGGGGTGTACTCAAAACCGCGCATGAATCTTTACGAGGCCATCTTAAAATACAGCTACACTTATTATAGAATTACGTGTATATAGGAAATTGCACTTCATAGAAAATTATAAAAAAAGGGAGATATGTAAGTGATATAGATGAAATCACCTATTTATTTATCATCTATTCGAAAAAGTGATATCTCCTACTCGCATAAGCGCTATTACCTATTAGAATAGGTGATATCGCATATTAGAAATAAATAGGTGATACATGTATATAGAATCACCTATTCGAATAGGTGATATCATTAAATGGCAATAAATACCAAAATGGTGCCTCAATTGAAAGGTCATCAAAATTTTAGGTTATAATTCAACAAGCCCATAAGCGGATCTGGAGGAGGGTCCGGACTCCCCATCCCCGGATTTGCAGTGTTATTAAATGTACATATTTAAGTAACTAAAAAAAATGACCTTGAACACCCACCCCACGTTTGGGGAAAAACTTTTTTTGTCAACAATTTCTGGGTTGATTTTTTTCCCCGACTGGGTTGAAACACCCCCCCCCCCCCATAAAATTCCTGGATAGCGCCTGAAGCTAGCTGTGCAATGTGTGATCACAAACGCACCAATTTAAAAAAACAAAAAGTATATATTCCTCTGAATATGACTTTAATACTGATTCACCACAAATACAAAATTAAAGAAATAAATTATTTCTTTGGTTTTCTAAGAATATGTCTAACTTTTTTTATGACTAGCATATCAAAATTACCATGAATTACAAAGAGAATATATTATACAAAGTGAATACAAAGGTGAGACTATTGCCCTGCTTTTACTGCATACACAAAGTACTGCATGTTAGAAAAATCTGAATGAATGATAAGAAAAAGAAAGTGTGGTTCCAATTTCAAGACAATTTAAAAATACAGCTGTCACAACATTGGGTTTATGCTTTATAGATATGCTGAAGGAAGACTTCAAAAACAGAACAGAAATCAAATGAGAGAAATCAACCATAGCCCTACTAATGTTGAGATTTTTTTTTTGTTTCTATTTATTCTCTCATAAAACTTTGATCCCCTACAGTGGCCACACCCTTGCCCCAGGGGCAATGACTTTTTTATTACTTGGGGATGATGGCATATTATACACTTATTTCATGACTACGAGGGGAACAGTCAAACTGTTGTCCCGAGGTAATGGGGAAGACCTGGGAAACTGTTGCCCGAGGCCGAAGGCCGAGGGCAACAGTTTCCCAGGTCTTCCCCATTATCGAGGGACAACAGTTTGACTGTTTCCCGAGTTGTCATGAAATAAGTGTTTTATTACCTAACCTACTATATAATTTCTTAAAGTAATGATATCGACATAATAATCAATGGCTTTTAAAATACATTGACAAAAGTTTGTATTATTTTTTAAAACCAAACTAAACAAGATGAATATTAATCAAATATTCACACCGATTGGTGTAAAATCAGAAAAATTAATGGGTGTGATATTATCATGCACTAATAAATTGAAAAAAAAAGCATGTAGTAAACAACATAATGATGTCTTAAAGATTTGAATATTGCACGTTTATGGCAAAGATCTATACTGAATGAAAGGGGCCTACATTTTTCCCAAACTACCCTCAGAAAAGGTGTTCATGGCCTCTTCTTTGAAATGATATTAAATTGAATACATATTTAAATTGGTATCAGGTTTACTTTTCAGATGATAATTTCAAATTGAATAAAAATGCTTCAATTTATATATAATTCAATATTATAGCTGTAAAGTACGTGAAATTAACTATGACGTCATAATGGAACAGTTCAGCCATGCAACAGTTCATTCTGTGACCGGGTAAACAGTTTTGACTGTTTCATGATTTGCAAAAACATTAAAAAGAATCAGGAAACAGTTCAAAATGCCTAATTACAATTTATATAGTAGGTTAGGTAATAACAACAACTAATTCATGTCCTGAAGTTTTTCTTATGATTTTTTAAAATGTTCTGCTATAAAAATATGTATATTCCTATGTCAAGCATTGGTTCCATATTGAGACCCCATTTGTCCCAGAGGCAATGACGTGAGCAAACTTAAATCTTCACTATATGTTTATATTAATATATTTTAATATGACTACTTGTGGTCATGTTTTCCTGTAGAAGAAATACCAGGTACCTAGATTTTTCCCCCTTTAGATTGCCATGTGAAAATGAAACCCATTGTGAATCCCCACTCTTTACCCAAAGATGCTTTGTGGCAAGTTAACTTGAAAATGCCTCGATGGTTCTTGATAAAAAGTCAAAAATGTAAAAGTTAATAACAATTGACAATGACCAGACTATGATCAGAAAAGCTCACTTCAGCTTTCAGCACGGGTAAGATAAAACGCAGAACAAACGTATAAAGAAACAAAACAAAAATGCACAACAATTATGTGAACAAAGAATGATATGCATTTCTTTCTCAAATAAAGAAAATCAAAACTGTAAATATGTCTATAACAAAGCATAACTCACTAACAAACTAATCTTATTACATTTGTCTACATGTATAGTGTAGGTACCAGTGTCATTATTATGAAACCTAAAAATCTAATTCCTAAAGAAAAAGTACATCTACATTTACTGATAAGGGTTCCTTGGATTACCACTTATAATGAAAAAAGAACTGTCTTCTATGAGCAATCAACATAAAGTGAATTTTTGTATAAATATATTTATCACATGTTTACTCCTTTAAACAGTGGATATAGCTCATAGAATATCGTTTTCATATCCACAATTGTGACGTCACAATGGTTTTTGTGTGAATCTGATCAAGTGAAATATTGAGGATTTACATATATAAAACAGAGTAAAAAATGAAATAACTATATGTGAAACATGTGATAAAAAGAATCTCCCATGATTTGTGGTTAGATGAGTTTTTTTTATCCAACTTGTTGGTGTTTTTGTCTCCTCACCAAGGCTTGGGGATAGAAGCACACAATTCGTTTGATAAAAAATCATATCCATTCACAAACAATGGGAGATCCTATATGTACATATAAGGCAAGACATGCACTACACTCAAAATGTCAAAAAGCACTAAAACATGATATGTGTTTAAAATTTTCATTCAAGGTGTTAAAAAAATCACAGTGTGGGACATAAAAAAGTGCATTTAGTTGAACTTTTGTAAAAAAATCATTTGTAGAAATGTCACCTTAATATACGATTAAATTCTTCCCCCCCAAAAATAATTAATTATAGAAATTGATACTTTGATTCAAGCTATCATAGTATGTCATGGATTGTTACTTTTGGCGGGGGCGTATTTCCACAAAGATCCCATGTTCTGGCCTCATTATGAGGTCTCCAATGGGAAGCAGCTCCTCTCTGGTCTGTTTGGAGGTAACACTGAATTTTCTGAAGATGTTGGAAAGCATCACTTTCTCTTCCAGGAGGGCAAATTTCTGGCCTTTATACAAATTAGAAATACTGGTATTTAAATATGCAGAGATAAGAAAACATTGTACAGCATCCACAAATGAAAAATTAAATATCTGGCCTCAGACCATAAATTGAGAACAGACTTCAGTAAAAATTTTGATTTTGAATATTTGGATTTTAGTTTCATATATGCATTTTAAAAATAGCAGGTTTGTATAATATTCAAGTACTAGTACAAGATAAAAAATTTTGTTTGATTATCAAATTTATTTCAAATATATATCAATTTGAAATTTTAACTTAAGACTGTACTCAGTTTATGGTCTTAAGGCCCAGAAATACAGAAATGTACATAATAATTGAAAAAAAAAACCTGTTATATTGTACTCTGTAATAACAGATTGAAACAATTTTAAATTCCAGCATTTATCTTCTCAATGACCTTTTAAGTACTGATAACACAAAGTAAAAGTATTTTCCAGGAATGCTTGCCTCATGAAAAAATATAGCTAAGAGAAATGAACTTTCATTTGCTTCAATCCAACCTACCAATGCAGTTCCTGGGTCCAGCTGAAAAAGGGACGTAGGAATAGGGATGTCGTTTGAGACTGTTTTCTGGTGAAAATCGGTCAGGATCAAATTTCTCTGGGTCAGGGAAGTATCGTGTGTCTCTGTGTAACCCGGGCGGTGTAATGATCACTGTCGTACCCTTGGGAATTTTGTATTCATCTAAATACATTGTAATCAATTAAATGCTAACATACCATAAAACTTTTGTGTGTTTTTTTTTTTTATATATTCAAAGGCAAAGAGCAAGAGCCACGAACCATAAAAAACGGCCCTGTAATTTTCGCAAAATTTCATGTCAATTTCGATAATATTGACACACTGTATATTTAAGTACTTAATACAATCTCTTTGTATATACCAAGATTTTTCAGTTCCGTTGTACCATAAGGACTATGGGATGAAGCAAACTTGTGAAGGTTATACAGAAACACAAAAAAAAAGCCATTTTTAGGCATTCTATGGAAGAATTAGATGTGGCCACAGTTATGAACATTCTTCTTATTTAACATGTGAAAAGAAACAGTTGTAAACTTCTCTCTAGCAAAGAATGATTGGTGTTCGTGACTGTGGCCAATGTTAATTTTTTGTTTATATTAAATTCTGAATTCACCAAATTTTGTGGTATTGCTTATCATTTCAAATTGTATACAATTGTGTTTTACCTATCTGCACAAATGGTGATAATAATATCCTCAGTTTATTCTTTACAATGTGTTTAAGAAATAAAAATGACAATAAAAGGCTCTGAAGCATAGTATTTTGCATAAAAATCTTATTTTATTTTTTTCACAATTAAGTGAATGTAAATTTCAACGTCAGTTATGACGTCAGACAGGTACGTCACAATTAAGGTATAATGAACGCTGCCAATTAAAGAAACCTAATGAAGAATGTGAAAAAAGTACTCTGAATTTGGATCAACAACCAACCCGAATAAAGCAGGTATTGTATTTTATATATATTAGTCCCTAAAGTTGAAATTAATTATCGATCTGCATTTCATATTGGGATAGATAATAATATCCATGCACTTATACAGACATATTTTAGACATTTGATAAAAATCTTGCAGCACTCTTACTTGTCAAGCTTACAAGTGCATACTTCGATATATTTACAAAATGGAAAACACCTTATTTTGTGCGCATGTCTACAGAAACTCTGATTGGCTGTCATAAATAATTTCGACCTTCACCTACAACGTTAACACATCCGGCGTCTACTTTCTGTTTAGCTCCTGTTGAAGAAATACGTTTTCTGCTTTCTGCTATACCAACATAATTGCTAATAAAATTTTGACACATTTCTATTAAAAGCAAATACTTGTGTACCAACAATTTTCTCCGATATTTACTGTATATTTGCAGATTAATCATTTCATATGAATTCTCCTCGATGCCCATAAAAGTATATTTCAGGTACTCGGACAAAGATTTGTCCCACGCATGTTTTTGTTTTCAATTTAATTTCTTTTATAATCTGTTACCATTAAATCTACATCCTCTTGATGAATACAACCCACTCTGCAAAACATTGTTCAACACACACTTCTCACATATATGTGCATAAAAAGGGAGAGAAACTAGGTTTGCACTTCCTCTCCAAAGTTTTTTAAGGGGGTGGGGGTGAGGGGGGGGGGGGTTAATGATTGTATAGTAATAAATATTGAAACATCTCCCTCTCAAACTATGAAACACATTTATTCATATATCAATCAACATGCTGGGGATCAACAGAGTTGGGCCACTGAAAAAAGTCATACTTTTCAGAACTGAAAAAAAGTATGTCACATCCTCATTTTGTGTTTAAAAAAGTCTATTCATTTATATCACAACTTTTCCACTTAATTAACATCAACCATCTAGAGCGGTGGGGTAAGGTAGAAGATCCATAAAATTGACAAGGGGGGGGGTATTAATAATCCCCAGATTGGTGCCAGATCCAAAATAAATAAATAAATAAATGTATGTGTGCGTTAAGGGGGGGGGGGTTCAAAGATTTTTTTTACAAGCAAAAAAAAAGTTATAGCATCTTTCATAGATAGGATTTAGGTACTTGCATACTTATTGTACAATTGCTAATTTACTTGAAGTGATTGTTTTTTAATATAATTATGTAATTATACAATGTAGTTTTTTTTTTAAATTGATTGTCCCTCCTAGTGACCCTAATGTCCAAAAAGTAGCCAACATGGTGATAAATAATGCCTGGTCCCTTACTGAATAATACTTTAATTACTTTTATTTAATTAAAAGAAGAAAAAATATAAAAAATGTAAATACTATGTACTCTTGTAGTAAGACTTTAATAAAGGAGAGAGAGAGGTGAGAAAGAGCAAATACCTCTGCATGAGCAGCATCAACATTTTACATTAAAAAATTGACTATAATTTATCCATTTTTCCATCTAAACACATCATAATAAAGTTTCAAATTAATTTAATATTTACAGTATGCCAGGATTTGGTCCAAAATATTTCAACTGCATTTTGTGTGGATTCAGAACTAAACCTAAAAATCGGAGACATGTACGGAAAGATATACAGAAATACTTGAGAAAAAGTTTCATGCTTGAGTCAAAAATTGGTGACACAATTTGCAATAAATGCGTATGCACATTTCACAGAACTAAGTCTTACAGTCCTCCTGCTGAGAAAGTACAGTGCACAGTTAAGGAAGCTAAGAAATCTGATCGTTCCATGTCATCTTGTCCATCACATATTAGGCTGAATATCCAAAGCACTGTAAGATCACACTCTTACTGCAGTTTATGTAAGCGCCCTGGTCCTAAGTTGATTACTGTGCCAACTGGAGTAAGATTTAGATTTTTTCTTGATCACAATGTTCTACTACCAGCGGGGTGTAGGTGTTGTCCAAACCATGTACAAAATGACAAAATTGTTGGAAACTTCAATTTTCAGCCGTCAACGTCTGTTCTTTTAAATTCTGAAGATCTAGAGAAATTAATTGGAAAATTACGCACAACTGCAATAACGTATTCAAAGACAAGAATCGACTTTGACAATGAGGATGAAATGACTGATGATGATTACATAACTTTGACTGGCCACAAAAAGTCTGACTTTCAGGAAATATGTCAACATGCTGAGCAGGTAAGGAAAACCCCAGCAAGGAGCTTGAGAACGTCAGTTGGAATTTTTTTGATGAAAATGAAATCAGGACTCTCTAACAAGCTGATGGCAACTATTTTCAATATTTCAAAGTCAAGTCTGCGACGTGCCATATCATCAGTTCGGATTGCGCTCATCAATTCCTTTGTTCCACAGTATCTAGGCTTTGAGCATGTGACAAGGGAGAGAATAATATCAGAACACATCCGTCCTCTGGCTGAATTCTTATTTGGTGATCCGGAAGAATCCCGAGCAATCCTGATAATTGATGGCACATACATTTACATCCAGAAAAGTGATAATTTCAAATTTCAAAGAAGAACTTACAGTCTACATAAAGGAAGGCCATTAGTGAAGCCAATGGTGATTTGTTCTACCTCAGGGTACTTTTTGAGTATCCTTGGCCCATACTTCTCGGATTCTAAAAATAATGATGCTGCAATCTTGAATCATGCTCTGAAGAAAAACATTGACAGCATTCGAGACTGGGTCCAAGAGAATGATGTTTTCGTAGTTGACCGAGGCTTCAGGGATTCACTAGATCTACTTGAAGACCTTGGTATTAGAGCACAGATGCCATCTTTCCTGAAGAAGGGTGAGAAACAGCTCTCCAGTGCCAATGCAAATTCTTCCAGACTTGTTGCAAAGGTGAGCATATTGAACCTAAAATTTAAATATACTCAATTTATTAAGTATTCCATTAATAAACAATATTTCCTGTCTTACAAGAGATAAAAAAAAAATCAAGGAAAAAAAAACATATAAAAAAAACCCCACTCCCTCCCTAAAATAAGAAAAGGCTTTAAATGGACTTACTGGTACATAATATGTTTGAATAATTTGTTTTCAGGTGAGGTGGGTAATAGAATCGGCAAATGCCAGGATCAAGAAATGGAAATTTCTTAACCATGTTCTACCAACAAACCAAGTGAAATATATAGGAGATTATGTTCGAATAGTGTGTGCCCTATCAAATAGGTTTTCCCCACCTCTATCCACTACAACAAGTAATGATGAAGAAATGGCCGCAAAAATGTTATACCTGTCACATCAAGTCAATAAACTCCAGGAGAGAGTTATTGATAATGGATTGGACAAACGTAAGGTTATTTGGAAATCAGTTGATGATGATACATTGGATGACTTCCCAAGATTGGATGAAGAGGACTTGTCCAACATAACCTGTGGAACATACCAGCTTAGACTAAGTCCATCCTATATAAAAGAACACATTGATGGGGAGGCTGATATTTACATCAACCGGGAAGACCCTGGCTTGATTCAAGTGAAGCTTCAGTCACGTCATGTGTCATCAAGGAAGTACACCTTATGGATAGAATTCACACCTTCAAACATTGTGGCCACCTACTGCAAGTGTCGTGCTGGGGCCCGCGTAGTTGGCGTTTGCTCTCATGTCGCAGCTGTGCTTTGGTATTTGGGTTTCTCTAGACACCAGGAGTGCCAGACTTATGGAATTCAGGATTGGGGTAATTCACTGTGTGATGCATCCATCCTTGATGAGTCTGATTCAGATGAAAGTGTCATGGAAGAATAATGATTACATTATTCCGACATCTTTTGCAGGCTAATACTCTTTCAACAAAGGTACCTATAATGATATAAATAAACAAATATGTACATACATGTATTACAAATTAACTGCTCAATAACCATTTATATTAGCTTAAAAGAACTTAATTGTAGATGCCTGTTGTTAATTACAATTATGTGTATATATTTAGCCTGATACTGCTTCCAGACAGCTTAACAGGTTGTTCCAAACTTGATTTCTCCCTCTTTCATAAAAATCATTACTGCATGTACTTGTACATGTACATATGAGAGTTATATCCATGTTATTTCTCTGTGTGAATTTCATATAGTTTTATATTTAGATCTGAATTTATTAACACTAGTGGAAACAGAGACAATATTTTCAATACAATTAATTTGTACATTTTGTGTATACATGTAATAAATTCAACCCCTTCTTTATCACACCAAAACTGTTTCCTGTCTTCATTTTAATCACCTGTCATAATTTACAGTAATTCTATGCAATAAAATGCAGTAATAAAACAAATTAATAAATAATATTTTAAAAAAAAAGGCAACAAAGCCAAAATTAAACACATAAAACAAGAATGCATCGTTTCTTTTCAAAATGATGTTGCAATGTAACAATTGCTTGCATTTTATTTTACACATGATAATCAATCAACATATCATCTGTTCATATATACAAAAACTGTTTATGACGAAGTTTATTAATACAATACTGAGTTATAATTAGGAATATATAGGAATATATTGTACATACATATATATTTGGTCGTTTAAAAAAATTCAGGAAAATTTAATTATCCCCCTTTTCAACTTGGCGGCGTTTACATGGTTTAAGCTGTTTTCTACCGTACGAAAGACTTGTATAACATTTTCGATAAAATGTCATGTTGTTCCCTGATTCATTAAGACTTACTGACAATTGCAACAGCAAAAATGAAATACGTACCAGTCCATTTTTCTCCATATTTCGGTTACAAACTCGCACATGCATCACAAGGCTGCCAGCATAAACGGTCAGGACGAGCCCGATCAAAATACTATATAATTCGATGAGGTTCAATCGACCTCGTAAAATACTACGGAAGAAAATCTCGATTTTTAATTAATTCATCAAACCATACTGAAAATATTATTTTCTTTTTTGTGTGTATTTGTTATATGCGACAATAATATATAATTATTTACATGTAGATGTACCATTCCAATGCTTAAGCAGTTAAGATAAAAATATACTGTATGTACATGTATTAGCCTGTATGTGTACATGTAATTTAAGCTTTCGTTTAGCATCTTTTCAGAAAAAAGTTATTCTTCAGTGAATTTTACAAAGACATATTACTTTTTTTTCAGTTAGATAAATGAAATTCTAATATAAGATCATAAAAAAAAATTAATTTAAAAAAAAAAACTAAACTAAACAACCAAATAAAAAGAAGAAAGTGTGTAAATATTCGCAACGTTAAAATGACTTTACTGGGTTTACATGGGTAAAAACAATGCTATAAATCTTCTTTTCTGAAAAGAAAAGTATTTGGAATATGGAAAAAATATAAGTATATTTAAAAAAAATATGTTCAAAAGTATAATATCTGAAAATTTGATTAAATTTGGACACAGGGCCATTTAATTGGTGCATCAAAGCTGTTCAAAGTGGTGAAATGGCATTATTTTTTAATTATTATTAAGGAATCGAATTTTTGCATTTTTCAAAATTTGAAGGAAAAAATTCACACATGTTCAAATGTACAATCTAAATGAATAGACATGTTACACTCCTTAATGTAATTATTTAAGCAGGATTTATAATCTGTTGCAATCATAATTGTTTATTCATAACACTGATTAACTATAAATCAATAATTATAACAAGTCACACATGACCTACATTTGCACCAAATATTGAATAAGAGCACAATATACAGTGTAAATATAGGTCTATAAAAATTCTCTCACCAAATTGACAGTCCTCTGTTAACTTTCTACCAAAGAACGGCACAGAAGGGAACAGTCTTAAAGCCTCCTGTAATGGATAATAAAAGAGATAATGCTTCTGACAATGGATATGTCTACAATTACTGCTCAGTCTACCATTACTTTATCAGTACTGCTCAGTCTACCATTACTTTATCAGTACTGCTCAGTCTACCATAGCTTTATCAGTACTACTCAGTCTACCACAGCTTTATCAGTACTGCTCAGTCTACCATAGCTTTATCAGTACTGCTCAGTCTACCATAGCTTTATCAGTACTGCTCAGTCTACCATTATTTTATCAGTACTGCTCAGTCTACCATAGCTTTATCAGTACTGCTCAGTCTACCATAGCTTTATCAGTACTACTCAGTCTACCACAGCTTTATCAGTACTGCTCAGTCTACCATAGCTTTATCAGTACTGCTCAGTCTACCATAGCTTTATCAGTACTGCTCAGTCTACCATAGCTTTATCAGTACTGCTCAGTCTACCATAGCTTTATCAGTACTGCTTAGTCTACCATAGCTTTGTCAGTACTGCTTAGTCTACCACTGTTTTATCAATACTTCTCAGTCCACCATAATTTTATCAGTACTTCTTTGTCTACCATGGCTGTAGCAGTACTACTCAGTTTAAAATTTCCTTATCAGTATGGTCTAACATTGCTTTATTCTACCATTATCAGTACTGCTCAGTAATTCATCAGTTATATTGATACAGCACTCCAGACCTATTGCCTTCCAATTGCTCAAGTTAAATCTACCAGATATTTAAACATAAACTATCCTGTTCATATTTTGATCCAATATATACTGTGTTAACTTACAATGTCTTAATCTTCAGTGTGTCTTAAATGCTGTTCTTATTTTGGGTAAACATTATCATGATTATTAATTTTAATGGTGTTTTTGTAAAATAATGATGTCCCAACTGATTCTAAACAAAACTTAGCCACTACATACTGTATGTGGTTATGAATAATTCAGATTCTTGTATTATGATACAAGAATCTCTCTTATAATCACATACATTGAAGTTGCTTACGGGTAATAGAGTAAAACTTGTTTAGTACGAACACGGATATTGCAAATTCACGGATATAGCGAAGTAATTTCACAGGTCCTAGTGACTTCGTTATAACTGAGTTTCACTGTAATAATATGGATATCAGGATAAACTTGACTTGTCTGATTTTCATGCATCATCTCTAACTATAACCCATTGTGAACACAATGTGATTTACCCAACATTGTTGAATTTATATGAGTTAACACTGTAGTGTGGACTGGTCCTGCATACCTCTATACAACACTCTAGATTTACCTGATTTTAATTGCCTTAATTCTATAGTATGTATCTTACCTTGACACAGCACTCCAGATTGACCTGAGTTTACCTGACTTAACTCTGTAGAGCCTTACCTTTATACAGCACTCCAGATTGACCTGAGTTTACCTGACTAAACTCTGTCCCTGATTTAACTCTGTAGTGCCTTACCTTTATACAGCACTCCAGATTGACCTGAGTTTACCTGACTTAACTCTGTCCCTGACTTAATTCTGTAGTGTCTTACCTTTACACAGCACTCCAGATTGACCTGAGTTTACCTGACTTAACTCTGTCCCTGACTTAACTCTGTAGTGCCTTACCTTTATACAGCACTCCAGATATACCTGACTTCACTCTCTAGAGCCTTACCTTTATACAGCACTCCAGATTGACCTGAGTTTACCTGACTGAACTCTATAGAGCCTTACCTTTATACAGCATTCCAGATACCTCATCTCCTTTAGATCATTCATTGTAGCTGGCCTGTCACTGTCCCCTACAGCGTACAATAGAATAGAACCTACTCTTATCTTTATGATTTTCAAAATGTTTCTTTTTTTTTTAATTATCATAAACAAACTCATTCAAAATGCACACATTATGATAGTTTAGTATTTATATACGGAGATGAGAGAGATACTTTGTTTTCTATCTAAAATAAACTCACCAAATACCTGGTCCATTTCCTCATGGACTTTAGCCTGAACCTGGGGATCTGCACCAATTAAATGGACAGCCCAGTTCATGGCTGCCGCTGTTGTATCATGCCCCTGATATTGATAAAAAAACAAATACTGTCAGATGAAATACTTAAGGTTCTTTTTTTATTAAATCAAAAAAAAGCCTAACATTATTTTGGAAGATAGTTCTATTAAATATTTGTAAATTGTACCATAGTTTTTTATTCTTAATCATACTTTTAAAATTTATTGTGAATCCGTTGCTATTTAAAAGAATCACATTTTTACAATCTCAACAATTTAGTAAGAGAGAAATTCTAATATTAAATGCATAATACATGTGCATAAGAAATCCATCCTACATACCATTAAAAACATGAAAAACATTTGAATCATTTTATATGATACAATATACTCTGAAGTCTTGTACAAAATACTGTTAGACCAAAACTGACACTCTGATAGTTTCAATTTAAAAAGTTCAGATTAATCTGCTTTTAATTGTCATGGTTAGTTTAATTTTTGACTTTCTCCTCATTCATGTGAAAATATTTACAAAATTACTTCAGAGAATGAAAAGAAAGCTTACATACAGTTTTATTCTTAATTTTATTCTTTAGAAAATGGCTACTTGGGTGATATTTTCTACTGTTTACAACATAAAATATTTGCCAGGAAAGTTATAATGTCAAACCTTGTTATCTCAAACTTGATGGGACTGAGCAAAAACTTTGAGATATGTGAGGATTCAAGATATCAAGGGTAAAATACTTAAAGAATAAGTGGGTTGGGACCTTCAAATCACTTCAACATATCCATGGTATTCAAGATATCGGTGTTTGAGATACCAAAGTTCAACTGTATTTAAAATATACCTCAAACATGAATGTGTCCACTTCCTCTCTGATATCCTCCATGGACAACTGGGAGCCATCTTCTGTTTTACACAGCAGCATGTCCAGGAAGGCTAACCTCTGACCTTTGCTCCTGTACATGTCTTCCTCCGAGTGCTGACTCAGCATTTCCTCCATACTGTGTCGCGATTCCTCAGTCTGACTCTCCATTTTCTCCTTGATTACCTTCATTCATAACAAAGAAAATGAGCTTTGGTTAAAAAAATACTGCCCTGTTAACTTCAAAAAGCTTTAGAAATACCATAGTGTGTAATAGACAGGTTTCCAATATACAAGGAAATACATTTACCGTAGTATGAAATATAGTGAATTTACAGATATAACAAGTTTTGTATTTAAAACCTCCCCCAGCATATTCGGTAGTCATATTTGAAGAAAACATATATATTGTGAATTTGCTATATATACTATAACAAATTCGTTACACAGTTATAATGAACTATGGATATAGTAAAGTAAATTACCAGGTCTCCAGGAATTTGCTATAACCGAGTTTTACTGTACTGTGGTATTTAAATACCAGAAAGTTTCTTTCTATTTTTGACTATTTAAAGTCATAAATGTTTTAAAATTGTGTGATTCAAAAAAGGTTTTGGTCATATGTTACCAACATAAATACAGGTAAATGAGTTGAAAGTACAGATTATATATATGTAGTTAAACATATACTGTTAAGTAAATACATGTACACTGATAATAAAGCCACCTTTTTAGTGAATCCATGGAGAATCTGAAGACATCTATCATGCTCCTTTCCATATCCAATAGTGTTGTAGAGGAAGTCAGGCCAGTACCAGGGTGTCCTCTGTCTCTGTAAGACTAGCTCAGTCATCCTATCACAACAAACGTCAGAATTATCCTGAGGCTGACTGTAATAAGCTCAAAAAAGTATATATAAAAATGTGCAAAAGTATATGACTAGCTCCATCACCCTGTCACAAACAAGTGTGGTGGTTATCATAATGATAACTATAATAAGCTCAAGCAAGTACCGGTATATATACACAAGTGTAAAGGTAAAATCAGATTATATATATAATATTAGCAATATTAACAAAATGATCATCACAAACAACAAGAGCTGTCCTAATAGGAGTAATGCCCCTTCAGGGCTAAGACAAAAGTAGCTTTAAAAAAGAACTCTGCCATCTCAATAAAAACTAGAGGTACTGTGAGCACTGAGCTCACAAAATGATACCTCCCGCCTACCATATGACTATAATGGCAAAGTCCATGTTTTGCTATGGGAGACCCAAAATAAGTGTCAGATCATCAAGTAAAATAGGAGGTGCACAATGGCATTATGTAATAAAGATTCTGTGAAAGTATCATTAAATTTTATTCAGTGGTATAGGAGGAGTTGTGGATAAGAGATGGGTACCCTCTCCATATTATAGAAAGAATGGCAGTGTCCATGTTTTGCTATTGGAAATCTAACCCGAAATATGTGTCTGATCAAAAAGTAAAATAAGAGGTGCACAATGGCACTATGTAACAAAGATTCTGTGAAAGTCTCATTAAATTTCATTTCGTGGTACAAGAGGAGTTGCGGACAAGAGATGGGTACCCCAAAGCATAACAGATGGACGTACAGACAGATGGACACCCCTCTCACTATACATCCCCCGCTTTTCAAGTGGGGGGTAAAATTAATCTACTGTGAATTTCCATGGCCTGAATCTTGTTAAGATATATTTGTAGAAATTTTTAACACCTATCTCGGTTTTGAGTACAAAAAATATAACCATCAAGTCCAAGCATTAAATTGTACTTCTGAACTCCCTGACCTTGACCTTTGTTCAGGGTCATGACATATCTTACGATCATAATTAACACTGAAGGCAAGTATGATCTTCTATAGTTATTTCATTACCAAGTTATGTTGCTGACAATAAATTTACACTTAATATCTAGTGACCTTGTCCAAATGGATATGGTGCAGGGTTGTTACACACCCTCTGGTCACAAGCAACCTTTGTGCTTAGTATAAATGTAATCTACTAATATTTTTTCTCAAAAACAAAGTTATGGCCAAATCATGAATTTTATATTTCTAAAGCCAGTAACCATGACCTTGTCTCAATTACCTAGAATCCTTTGTCTCATATCAGTTTCTAAGGTTTCTCAATATCAAAGTTGGGGCTAGAACAATAATTAAATAATTATGTACCTGTGACCTTGACCTTTTCAAAATGACCTTGGTACAGAGTCAAGACATACTTCTGGTCTTAAGCTACCTTTGCATCAAGTATGAGTCTCTAAAACTTTTTGGTTTTAAAGTTATTTTAGACAAGAATTTCTTTCCTCTAATTCCTGTACAAAAAATCTTATAGTTATATCATTTGAACTTGTGCACCTGGTATTTTCAGATTAATTTGTCAAAATTAAATAAAAGGTTATAAAAATTTTATTATTTCTACAAAGTTTGACAATACAAATTCAATAGTTTGTGAGATAAACTCTGAACAAAATATGTCTACAGATAGACAGGCTGACATGGTTATTCCAATATATCCCCCTATACTTTGTTTGTGGGGGTATAATTTATGTTTAATACTTACTTGTAGACAGACTTGACATAGTCTGACTCGCTGTTACTCTGAGCATCAACAGTTCTTCCCATCGCAGTCTCTGTCAAAGAGAAGCTTTAGTAGTACATTGTATGGAATATTATACAAAAGAATCCATAAGTAAATGGGTTACAGTATTTCAATTTTATAAAACCTTTGCCTTTGAAATTAACTTTTTAATGAAATTTAGATCCAAAAGCATGATTTGTACTAAACAAAAGTACAAGTGTGTAGTAATGTGAGTAGAACAAAACTACATGTCCCGAGGAAGAAAGTAAGATTGTCAGATACCACAAATGATATCCAATGCACAGAGGGTGATGTAATTGAAGATGTTGAATTCTCTTCCATCGGCCACCTCAGAGAGCTTCTTTACCATGATGGTGGCTTGATCATGGAACACACCCACAAAGTCATTCAGAATCTTGAAATGGAACGTTGGTGTCAGCATCCTCCGACGAGATTTCCATTTACTCCCAGTGCTAGAACATATCACATGGTGTGAATGTTATAGAAATACAAACTCAAAATGCTCATATTTTCTGGAACATTGGTGAACAACTATTTAACATACCCATTTATTATTTAAGCACAATTGCAGTTGTATGCTTGGTATTTGACATACGTACTGGGTACTTTTAAATTTTTATCTAAATCCTTGCAAAGTATAACTGTACAAATAACAGCAAGCCAATCAGGTACTGGTGAAGCTTATTGCATATAAGATATATCTCTGATACTGTGACACTATGGGTTCAGAGGCATTTATTTATTTCAAAAAATAAGATCTAACTCTAAGATTTTGACATTTCAACTTGTCAGATGGAATCCTGTTATGCTTATACCACTAAAATGGACCTCACAATGCAATATTGAAAACAGGAATACATAATTGTTCTATTTTTGTCTCTGTCCACATCTTAAGCATTGGTCTTTGAAATTATTAGATACCTGGATATGATATGAAAGTTAATCACATTTTGTTTGCATGGAAATCAGGTCATTGTGTCAGGAAAATATTACAGGTTAAAGCATCATTCAATTTTATTTATTTATTTATTGGGGGGGGGGGGGGGGGGGACTGTGATTGTTTTATAGACTTATTTTCCCACTGATGTCTTTTTCACTGACCTGGTTAGAAGACCTGTCCCTAGCCATGGATGGAGGAATCTATACTCATCAGCTTTATCCAAATGTTTACTGCTCTGAAGAATCACCTGAAAATATGCTTTGTATTAAGCCATGTCTTATGTAAGTCCACAGCAATTTTTTAATGCGCTAGGAGCCACAACCAAAAGGATCTAAAGAATGTACTATATAGATATTTTAATAAGGAATATAGCTTAAAGTTAGTGTATTTGAATATTCAGAATTTAAGGTTGCCCATCCTTCAAGATTGTGTTCCCCGCAATTTGATATGTCACTTAAGAAAGTTTCTGAATTTATTTAATTCTGAAGAGCTACCTTTGTTTTATAATAAAAAGATGACATAGTTGTAATTATTATACAGGCAAAACAGCAAATCTTTTTATCCAAATACATGTAAACAAAATAAATTTCCTGACTGGAAAAAAGATCAAAAACTATATTTCAATAAAGAAAATGATAGGTATACATGCATTTACAGAATTTTTTTAAAAAATAATTTAAAATGTCCTTTCCTCTAAATTAACTTTCAATCTTTTATCTTTGAATAGTATTCAAACTTCACTTAAAGATGGGTTAAATGTAAGTACTAGTGCTAGGATTTACGTAAATTCAATTTCTTTCAAAATGTTTTTTGTAAGATGTAATAGGAAATTTTTTTCTTTTCTTTTAACTGTTATATAAATTCAAACAAGTAAAAAAAAAAATCACAATTAAAGAATGGAGTTAGCAGAAAATAGTAAAAATTAGCAAGTAAAGTATACATACAGGCACTGTCCTCAACGAGGGATAAAAAGATTTTTAAAAAAAATAGAGGTGATAACAAACCTCAGCATACTCTGGTTTGTAAACTATGATCAATCCTATAAATCCAAGCCAAAGTCGAAATATTCCCCTAGCCTCGTAAAACTTCATATACCCTTCCATCTGATCATAAAACCCTGAAATCAACAATACTTAAAATGTCAGCACTTTAATGTACTTCAACCTTAGCTTTTAATGTGTATGCTTACCCTCTTGCTTCACATTTTTCTAAAACCCTGCTGCTGTCTGCAATGAAATATGACCACAGGTGCCATATTTAACATCATAAGCATCAATGGCCCCATATTTTTCTTAAAGGCAGAGATTTTTTACTGGGTGGTAAATTCCAGGTGAGGGACTCTAGGGGCTTATTATGTACAGATGTAAATGCCTTGAGGGCTAGCAGTCTACCTGTGGTCGTGTGTTCTTAATATTGAATCAAAATCGAAAATTACTTTGAAAAAAGTTATTAAAAAAAACAACTTTTGATTTATTATCATGAAGAATATTATAATTATTTCAAAAACTAAAGGTATAAATATTAATTATACATTATCAAGCTAAAAATGTTCAAAGTAATACAGCTTCTTTATACCATGTGTGGTATAAAATATCAAAGGATCAAAAATTTTAAATTTGAAGTTCACCACAAGTGCCAAATAAGGTGTACAGGGTATACAAAGAGACTAGTAAGTAAATGTCTATCAAGTCCCAGTACCCAATGATGAATCTAAAGGCACTTGATTGACAGGGGTACATAGACCAGGTATTTCTAAAGGAGGTGCTTGAAATCTCTTCCTTAAATATGTGAAAAAAAATCTATTTTTTAATCACACTATCAAATATCATGATTTATAAGAAATCTTTTACAATATTTTGTAAATAAACAGGGCAGTGATGCTATTGATGTGAAATCCCACTCTGTGGTTGTTCAGTAATAATTAACACACCTCTACATACTCAGGCTTGTACAGAGCAACTGTTAACTTTGTTCCCAACAGCAGTCGAAATATTCCATAATTGGCATAATCAGCAGTGAACTGAGTCAGCTGGTCAAAGAATTCTGTTAAAAAAAACATTATTACTAGGTAGGATTGCATCTTCTCCTGATTTTGTGGGCTACACATTTTCTGGAGGGCTGTAAAGGATTACGTCACATACAAGTATATCCTAATCTAAAAATTTCAAATACAAAAAAAAAATCAGCTTTGATGAACTTGATCTCAAATTTCCAATTTCTGTTATTTTCTTCAACAACATGAAATATGACCTCATTCACAGATTCTTCTTGGTTTCCACTTTATAATGTTCTAAATGTGCTCCTTTAATGGCTCCGAGTAAACATCTACAAAGTTTATTGTCTGTCTGAAACTGCTTTAGTAAACCTAGGCTTTTACATTGAAGTGTCTTATAACCTATAGTGCTTCAATAAGCTGTATTAGCCTTTTATACAATACACAAAAAATCTTGATTTCTTTTTTAGTCCCCAACCGGTGAAACCGGAGGGGACTATAGGTTTCCTCTGAGTCTGTCCGTCCGTCTGTCTAGCTGTCCCTCTGTCTGTCAGTCTGTCCCACTTGGTTTTCTGCACTTTTTCCCTAAACGCTTGCGGATATTGAGCTGATTTTGAGTATGTGAGTGTACCTTGATGGGTTACAGATCAAGTTTGCGTTTCATTCCGCTTCATTGATTTTGACGGAATTATGGCTTTTTCAATTTTTTCAGGGTTTTCCGCAATTTTCTTCTAAACGCTTTCAGATATTGAGCTGATTTCGGGTATGTAACTTTACCTTGATTAGTTATAGATCAAGTTTGCATTTCGCCCCGCTTCATTGATTTTTGACGGAATTATGCAGGGCCGTAGGAACGGGGGGGGGGGCACGGGGGGGCCGTGCCCCCCCAATAATTTTGCCGATATATAGAATACTATAGAAAACATAGCTACTACATGCTTGTGCCCCCTCATTAATAACGTCTGATGACCTTTTTTTTTTTTTTTTTTTTTTGCTTGTCAAGGAATTTTGGAGTCGATAGTGCCCCCTCAACTGAAAATGTATGATTGTGCCCCCTCAAAGTGAAATTGCTTCCTACGGGCCTGTTATGACATTTTCAATTCTTAACGGGAGCCAGATTACACTTGCCGGTAGGGGACTAGTATTGCTAATGCAATACTCTCAGAATGCTTGTTTTATATAAGTGAGCATTTTAAAGTAAAGATATTTTAAAATAGTTTAATTATAAGTTATAGCGCAGTAAGAAGCATTCATTAAGTTTAAAAGTAATATTGAATATTTAAAAACTTAGATTTATTTAATGTTTAAATTCAGCGATAGTTAGATAGTCGGTGCACTTGGGGTTCTGACCCGGAGGGGACTATAGATTTCATCTGAGTCTGTCCGTCCGTCTGTCTGTCTGCCCCTCTGTCAGTCTGTCCCACTTTGTTTTCCACACTTTTCTCCTAAACGCTTAAAGATATTGAGCTGATTTTTGGTAAGTGAGTGTATCTTGATGAGTTACAGATCAAGTTTGCATTTCGTTCCGCTTCATTAATTTTTGACGGAATTACGACCTCTTAAATTTCTAAGGGTTTTCCGCATTTTTTTTCTTTTCGCTTTCAGATATTGAGCTGATTTTTGGTATGTAACTTTACCTTGAATAGTTATAGATCAAGTTTGCATTTCATTCCGCTTCAATGATTTTTGACGGAATTATGGCATTTTCAATTTTTAACGGGAACCAGATTACACATGCCGGTAGGGGACTAGTATTGCTAATGCAATACTCTCAGAATACTTGTTTTAAATGCATTCTTTTCTAACAATTTTTATTTTTCAGTAAAACAGTTAGGAAAAAAAAATGAAAAAAAAAGTAACTACAAAAGACTATATAAAACATGAAGTGTTTGTGAAACACTGATGCCCCTGCATGGCAGCTAAAGGCCAATGTTAAAGAATTTTTTTTCAAAAGTAGGCCAAACTCCAAGTTCAAAAATGTTGGTACAAAAAAAAAGTTATGGGCAAAATTTAAGGTATTACAAAAGTAGGTCTAACTCCAAGGTCAAGGTGTTGAGGTCAAAAATGTTGGTACAAAAAGAAAGGCCTTGTCACTAGAAATACACAAGTACATGAATAACTACAATTGTTCAGAAGTTATGGGCAAGGTTAAAGTTTTTCAAAAGTAGGTCAAACTCCATGGTTAGGTGTTGAGGTAAAAAAAAATGTTTTTACCCAAATAAAGGTCTTGTCACAAGAAATATACCCCAGTACATGTGAAATATGAAAAGCCTAGCACCACAATTCAGATGTTATGGGCAACGTTAAAATTTTTCAAAAGTAGGTTGAACTCATGAGGTAAAAAAAATGTTATTACACAAAGAAGGTCCTGTCACAGGGAAATCACATAAGACATACAAATGTCAGATGTCAGGCTCAGATCCAGGAATTTTTTCCAGGGTGGGGGTAGGGGGTGTTTCCACCCAGTCAAAAAACTTCCAACCCAGAAAATTTCTTGACAAATAAAAAAAACAACACTAAAATCCTTTCTCAGTCGTATCAAACCCCGAAAATTTCTTGACAAGCAAAGAAAAAAAAGATGTAATGTCCATTCCCAAACGTGAAAAAAACTTTTTCATGGCGATGTTGGTGGGGAGTCAACATTTTCTAGAGGGGTCCAAAGTCACTTTTTATTTGGTTCAGTATATACTTTTAATAACTCTGGAAATTCCAAGGGGGAGGGGTCTGGACCCCCCCCCCGCCCCCCCCCCCCCCCTTCTAGATGTTATAGGTGTTATGGCCAAGGTAAAAGGTGGTTTAAATTTTTCAAAAAATAGGTTATACTCAAAGGTCAAAGTCATAAGGTCAAAAATGTTGGTATTTAATGAAAAGATCTTGTCATAAGGAATATACATGTAAAATAAGATAGCCCTAGCACCTGACCATTTAAAAGTTATGGGCAAAATTAGTTTTTGCAGACAAATGGACTGTCCAAAAACTACTGTACAGCAGGAAATTAACTTGTGGAGTTAATATTTGCCGCTATATTTACAGAAATAAAAACTCCGCGAATTCAACATAAAATGAATAATTCTTCCAAAATTTATAAGGATAAATCTTTTCCGATCGCGATTTTATCCTGCTGTACAGTATATGCTCCCGAATCTTTGATTAAAGGGGTTTAAAATAATGGTGGTAGTGAATATTTGCCAGTATTTTGATTAAATATTCTACAAAAACATATAACTACACTGAGAGGGAAAAATTCTTGCTAGCTATATTGGTTATTATAATACAGAGATGAATATCCTACCTGTGTGATATTTTGTACTGTATGAATGATTGTTTTTCACAATGTTTACAATTTAAAATGACCCTGGATATATCTAAAAGGTTTAAAATATTAAATTAAATGATAATGACGAGAAAATGAGAGAAAAAAAATCCATTAGACAAGTCTCATCATGATCAAGCTCTTTGGAATAGCCAATAAGCTACTCAGCTTTCCAAACTTGATAGCTAAAAGGATTATGCCAGATGTGTGTAATGTTAGTTAGAATAATCTAACTGTGCCTCGGGACAAGCCCTCACCACAGTTAGAATACGTCCCATATACTTGCAATGTAGCAAATCGGAGTGGATCCACTCCGAAATGATTTTGAAGAATACAAAAGGAATTGCACTGAAAATAACTACCAAATTAATCATAACAAACCTTTTTGAGATTGTATATGCCTTTTAACCCAAAAAATAATCCATTTAAATATGAAAATTGAACTCATTTTCTCAACGATTCTTTCCTCGCTTCAAATTTAACGCCATGTTGACATTCGGAACTCCCTGGATTGTTCATAGAAAATACACAGAGTTCGAGTTATCGCCCGTGTTTATTTTGCAACATTGCCAATATATGGAACGAATTCTATCATTAAACCGGGTCCATAGTACAATATCATTTTAACGATAGAACGTTCTATCTAGTGTAATGTATGTAAGATAGTTGACATGGTTGATGAGTAAAACAGGTCCAGCAAAATCTCTTGATTTAGCTGTATAGCTTGAATTAGCAATAAAGCTTTATTAAGCTATTCATAATAAGTTAAACTTTGTTATCTCGAACACTGATACCTCAAATAGACAAATACCATGTATATGTCGTAGTGATTTGGAAGTCACAATCCCTTATTTTTTAAGTAAAAGATATCTTGAATCCTCCAATATCTAAGGGTGCAACGATAAACCATTTGACGGTTTATCGCGGTATATTTTTCCACGGTTCAATTTACGATACGCAAAACTGATATCGCGGTTCGGTTCAATCGGTCCAGAATTATCCGAATCGTCCATTTTGTTTGCTTTTTTACAATTTCAAAATGGCGTCCGCGCAAAACGTGAAGTCGCCGATAACGCTTTAACGGAAGTTAAATAATCTCCAGCATCTTACAGACCTCAGATTTAACACGGAGAAGGACTTAATGTGATTATAGGTTATAGATGTTAAGACAAATGATAAACCCTTTAGATCGAAACGTATTCCTTGGTAATACACGATATTTCATCACGTGTTTATTTCGATGAATATTCACTGTCTTGTTGACTAAAATGTGTTAACACGAGAAATATGACAACTGTTTTTCTACGTAAATAAAATGAATAAAAGAATTGAGTGTCTTCCTTTTTCATTCCAATTTAAAAGGAAGATTATTAGGAAAGGTTCCCGTAGTTCCCTGTAAATGTTCATCATTGGTTTAGAAAATTGTCAAAACTCAAAGATCTATCCAACAGTCCAATTCAAGTTAACAAAATCTTATTTTGATTATTATTTAAAAATATGAACATTTTATATAACCCTGTCAAGTTTTTAAAAAATATGATGACAAACTTGAAAGACTTTTTAACCTTGTCATGTATCGTGATACGTATCGTATCGTGAACTGAATACCGTGATACGTATCGTATCGTGAGGTTAGTGTATCGTTGCACCCCTACCAATATCTCAAATTTTTTTCTTGGTCCTATTGAGTTCGAGATAACGAAGTTTGACTGTTCTGTTATTTCATCACCCTTTTTTCTTAAATGTGGTTTTTTTTCAGCATGCACAAAAAGTTGCACTTTGGCACAGTGATAGTATTAAAACTTGAACTCTTCATATATTAAGTGATACCTCTGCTGGTATGTTTTAGCTGGTGAGCATTTCCAAGAATTGGTAAGGCTACTGGACCTGGAATTATATCAATCTTTTTCCTTGATAACTCTCTTTTAATTACCCATGCTGTAAAAAGTATAATAGCTACAGCCAAAATTATTGCCGCTGCCATTTTGACCAACTATTCCAGTCACATGACAGATCTAAATCCACCTAGCGGAAATTACGGTAAATAATGGAATCGTGGTTACATCCGATGTAAAATGTAGTGCAAAGTTTGATTTATCTTTAATCTTTAGAATTATATTTACATCAATTCTTTTAACTAAAACTAAATCTATTATTTTTTTCCTAGTTAATATTTATAAGCATATATTCATTTTCCACTGAAAATGTAAAGTCCATCAATGACGTCATGCGCTGTAATACTTATTTCCGGCATCGTGATAGTCTGGGCCGTGGTTGAGAGAGAAAAATATCCTTCGACGAAATTAAGATGTCTTATAGAGACAGAATGTTCGATTCTTCTGGTCGGTCAGACAGAAAAGGGTAAACAATTTTTTTTTATATACAGTTTCTAAGGGCGTTAAAGAACAGAGAGAGGCTTTTAATTATTGACAAAGAGGTCTACAAACGTGGCCATTTTGAATAATTTTTATTTTTGTTGATTCAGAATTTAAAGTATTTGTACTGTTAAAATATCGAAAAGTATTACTCTGTATTGACATTGATCAAATATATAGGTTTTAAAAGTTTTACAACAAGGTGCTTTTTTTTAAAATGTCATGTGAAATGGGCAAATTTGGTTCAACTAACCACAAAGTCTGTTCACCACGAAACATTCGCTGTCTCAGTTAATTAAATAAAAAAATAAAATATTCCCATATCCTTCTTGGCTCCCCCAATTTAAGTTCAGCATTTCCTTAAGAAGATGTTGCTTTTGTTATGTTTTAAACAATGTTTTACAATAATGAGCTTCACAAGTGAAGCAACGGGAGTGCAAAGCAAATTGTGGCAAATAGTGTCAAATTCTGTTCTGGTGCTGTATTAAGTGAAACTTACAACAACACATAGTATACTTCACATCAGTCAATGTTTCTAACCTTATTTCTGGTGCAACTAGAGCTGAAACGAATGTTTGAATATTGGCAAATGAACAGTAAATGGCGAATATTCGAATGGAAAATAGCAATCAAATATTTGATAACATGATTTATACTTCAATGTTTACTTTGTTGGTTAAATTATTAAGGGTGAAACGATACACCTCCTTCAAAGTTCGATACATATTGTATAATTTTGTCTTGGTACGGTTATTTTCGATACAATACATTTTGATAGAAGGAAACAAGTTCAACCTTGTTTTATGCTTTCTTTTACTAAATCTAGTCACTTAATTTACGAATTTTTATTTGCAAATGACTAGAAGAAATTGATTAGAATTATTTGACTGTCAAAAATTATTTTACAAACTATCAGTCATCAAAAATTTACGTTTTCTATACTTATTTATACTGAGTAACGTGTTTTACCTTATGCCAAACCCAACTGAATAACGATCCCGACCAAAAAATGAACCAAACCGAAAATTAGAGATTTTGCACTGTGTATCAAACCGAGAAAAAATACCGCAGTGAGTTGATACCGCGGTGAACCGTTTCACTCCTATAAATTATATTGGTACTTTAACAATAAAAACTTTTAGTATTAATAAGGATTTAGTGCTACTTTATCCTGTCAATGCTCCACGTGAACTTTTGATTACCTCTCTGGATTTTATTAGAAAGTGCCAGAAATATGATTAGAAGTTAAAACAAAGAATGCACATAATTTTCCTCAGTGTAAATCCTTTTGAAATTATCCTCAAGGTATTTCATTTTCATATTGAGTGTAATTCACGCCTACCAATTTGCATAGCCCCGCCATTTCCATGCGTTTTTTTCTATCACTAAATCTTATAGTCTTAGGTTTCTATTTGCAAATTGTTGAGAAAAGTTAGGTGCCTTTGCACAATATTCATTCAATGACACTGTAGTCCTTTACTCTTTTATTTTAATGTCCGTCAATTATTCAACCTTCCATATTTTAAATTATCAAATCTGATGGATTTGTATTTCTATCATATTTACATCCTTATGTGCAGATGTAAATTATTAATATCCTTGTCAGTTTTTAGGTCACCTGAGTAAACTCAGGTGACCTATTGCTATCCGTTTTCGTCCGTCGTCGTTCATCGGTCATAAACTTTTGAACATTTTTAGCTTCTTCTCTGGAACCACTGAACCAATTACATCTAAATTTGGTATACAGCATTTATGGGTGAAGGGGAACAAAAATTGTGAATTTCATGGTCCCTGCCCCCCTGGGGCCTGAGGGGTGGGGCTAAAACCACCAAAAATAATGCAATCTTTAAAAATCTTCTTCTTTACTCCTGGACATCAAGCAGTCAAACTGTTGGCATCATTGTAATCAGCATTGAGCCCTCTACCAAAATTGTGAAATTCATGGCCCCAGGGCCAGGGGTTCTGGCCCCAGGGTGGGGCTATATAGATCATATAGTGAAAGTGTGTTATTTCTTTGAAAATCTTCTTCTCTGCTCCTGGGTATTAAATAAAGTTACTAAGTACATAGTTATGATGAGCAAGAATGCCTCTTCCAAAATTGTGAAATTCATGGCCCCAGGGTCAGGGGTTCTGGTGTTAGAGTGGGGCTCTATTGATTATATAGTGAAAATGCATTAATTCTTTGAAAATCTTCTTCTCTGCTCCTGGGTATCAAATAAAGGAATTAAGTAAATAGTTATGATAAGCAAGAGTGCCTCTTTCAAAATTGTGAAATTCATGGCCCCAGGGTCAGGGGTTCTGGTGTTAGGGCGGGGCTCTATAGATTATATAGTGAAAAAGCACTAATTCTTTGAAAACCTTCTTCTTTGCTCCTGGGTATTAAATAAAGTAACTAAGTACATAGTTATGATGAGCTAAAGTGCCTTTTTAAAAATTGTGAATTTCATGGCCCCAGGGTCAGGGGTTCTGGTGTTAGGGCGGGGCTCTATTGATTATATAGTGAAAATGCATTAATTCTTTGAAAATTTTCTTCTCTGCTTCTGGATATTTAATAAAGAAACTAAGTACATAGTTATGATGAGCAAGAGTGCCTCTTCCAAAATTGTGAATTTCATGGTCCCAGGGTCAGGGGTTCTGGTGTTAGGGTGGGGCTCTATCGACTATATAGTGAAAATGCATTTATTCTTTGAAAATCTTCTCCTCTGCTCCTGGGCATTAAGGTGATAAACTAAGTACATAGTTATGATGTGGAGGTGGGCCTCTTCCAGAATTGTGAAAGCCATGGCCCCTGGGTCAGGGGTTCTGGTGTTAGGGCGGGGCTCTATTGATTATATATAGTGAAAATGCTCTAATTCTTTGAAAATCTTCTTCTCTGCTCCTGGGTATTATTTAAACAAACTAAGTGCATGGTTATGATGCATAAGGATGCCTTTTCAAAAATTGTGAATTTCATGGCCCCAGGGTCAGGGGTTCTGGTGTTAGGGCGGGGCTCTATTGATTATATAGTGAAAATGCATTGATTCTTTGAAAATCTTCTTCTCTGCTACTGGAGATTATTTTAACAAACTAAGTGCATGATTATGATAGACAAGGATGCCTCTTCCAAAATTTTAAATATATATCGCCTCAGTTTTGGGGGTTCTTGAGGGGGGGGGGCTCTATTGATTATATAGTGAAAAAGCATTAATTCTATTAATTAATCATTGATTAATCCTGTCGGCTCCTTAGCGTTGAGCTGATAAATAAATTGCTTAGCTATGATAAAAATGGGAGCTTCGAACAGAATTTTTAAATCTTGTGGTCCTTGGGTCAGGGGTTCTGGCATAACGAGGGAGGGGGGGGGGCTCTTGATAATATAGTGGAAAAGTGTTAATTCTTTGAAGTCCATAGTAATGATGATGAGGGTAACTCTTCCAAATTTGTAAATTTCTTGACCCTTGGTCTTGGGTTCTGGTGTTAGGGTAAGGCTTTGTTGAATCTGTAGTGAAAATGCATTGTACCTGTGAAATTCTTCTCTGCTTCTTGGCATATCGGAAGCAAACTGAGTAAAAGTTTAAATGATATGAGTAAGCGTATTTCTACCAGATTTTTAAACATCTGGACCATTCGTCTAAGCATTCTGGTCCTGGGCAGGGCTCTATTAATTTGTATTCTACTGAGAGAAGTTATTCCCCTTTTCCATTCACCTTTGATAATTAATCACTGTAAATAATGAAAGGTTAATAGAATGAGATGATTTTGCAAGAATGTTTATCGTATAATTAAAAAAGTACTTTCTTAGTTTTAATAATCAGGTAGACCTGTAAGTAATAGATAAATAAAAATGAGACAAAAATAACTTATCTTATTAAAAGTTCTTCAAAGACCATAAGAGAGGTCAATGCTAGAGGTCTTAATATGGGTTTATAAATAGTACAGAAGCACTAATAGTTTGTTAATAGGCTGCATGGTGATTAGTGTTAAGTGGGGGACAGATTAGAACTCAATTTCTGAGTTGATAGTGAATACTAGATTAATTATTTTGTTGATCCTGATCTTCCTACTTCTGTTGTTTTTGTTCCTCTGCTCTGCCTCTGGGTATTAAGGCCAAAGTTTTTTTTTCATATGGTTTACGATTCCGCCGACCCTTATTTTCACCAATCATGAAAATAAAAATAATGTCTTTTTCCCACATATTTTTCCGGATTTATCTCAGCTGAACTGGTGGGTTTTAAATTTTAGAATGCATCTTAGTCGATGAGACCTTTACAAACATTTAGGTGACCGTAAATAAACACGTGCAAACCAAAAATGGCGGTTCTGTCATGTAACAAGGTAATTCCTCACTGAAAGCAATGACACACACTTAAAGAACTTTTTCTGCATGAAAAAGTGAATAAAATATTGGATGCATGATCCCTTTCTCCAATTGCAATGTCTCAATTGGCTAAATTCATACCATAATATTGGAGAGTTTATGCCCAACCCTGATCGACCTAGCAGACACGGTTACACCTATAGATAACAAGGATTTATCAGTGCCTTCTCAGGGGCCGAAATTCAGCCCCATTTCCAATTGAAAATGAGTTCATTTTTTTCCCAATTTGGCAGTATTTTTTGCCAATTGGTGAACAATGCTTTTATTTTTAATTATCTTGAAAAAACACAAAGTAAAATTGTCAGACTGTCTGTAATTTTCATCTATTTAACTCATTTAGCAAAGCTACAGTCATAACACATGTTTAAAAACACTGTAAAAACATCGCCAACTTTTAATCCGAATTTCCTCCGTTTTTCTAAAAAAGATGATATTGTGTAATTATATAGATTTATTAAGTTATTTCCACCTACTCAATTGACCTGCGAGTGAATGCTAAGGACTTTAGGCATTATTTCAGATAGAAAAATATATTTTCAATGCATTAATACATATTAAAAGAGGACTTTTAGAAAATGTGTACTGGGTATAATTTTTTGCAGGAGGTTTATAATCTCCAGAAACAGATACTATATGACCTAAATTGAAATCTCATACACACATGTACTACCCTAAGTTGTATAAATGCTTTACACTCATTTAAAGTCCAATTTACTTTTATTAGTCTTATTCATAATTGATCTTGTATGATGAAGATGGATCATATTTAATTGTCGTTTGGTTGCCCAAATTAGAGTTCATGCTGAAATTTTAAATGAATTATCCCTGAATACAGGATTTAAATTTTTTCCAATTTCATCAAATAGCTGATAATTTATTCCCAATTCCCCAAAAATGGTGTTTCCCAAAATAGGCTGATAAATCCATTGATAATAGTTAGGCCAATTTAGTGTTGAGAGATACATCTTAGTTGAAGTAACGCTGACTGGTATTTCAAATTCAATATACAAATCTTTGCAAATTTCATACTCAATTGAGATTAAAGCCCTTTGAATTAATTACTAAGTAAATAATGAGCATTGCCTACTGTGCAGGTACATAACAAAAATTTAAAGAAGGACTTGATGGAGAAATTATTAGGCTATTGTGCCGCAGGTTGAACATTAAATTTGATAGCTGTATGATCAAATTATTATAACCTTTATTTCAATGTCAATTACTTTTGATATTGTTAAACAATTAAATTGTATTTTTCTTCAATCTAAATTTAACTTAAATTTGGATCCTTATTTTTAGTTTGTTGGGATACCGAGGTTTATAACACATCACATTTCACTGAAGAGCACAAAAAGAAGTTGAACATCATGAACCAAGCACTGATTGACAAACAAAAATCAGAACTATATGTAAATGAAAATGACATTCAGTCTAAAGTTAGAAATGAATCAAAATTAAATAAAAAGAGTTATGTGATCTAGACAATAAAACTTAAAAGTACTATTGATGTGTATTATTTTTATTAAAATAAACATTGCTGGTATTTTAAAATGAAACTTGAATCCTAAATTATTTTTATTTTTCGACCACCCAATGCATTTTTTTGAGACAGAAAATCGTAAACCAAAAAAAATAAAAACTTTGGCCTAACTAATCAAAGTAAGCATGCTAACTGTATAGTTATGATGAGCAATAGTGCTTCTTTCAAAATTGTGAATTACATGGCCTCTGGTTTGAAATACAAACCAAATTCAATTGTTGGAAAGTTGTTACACAATACTCAGGTGACCTATAAGGCCCGTGGGCCTCTTGTTTTTTTTTTTCAAGAAAGATCAGGGCATACAGAAACCTTTGTTGCATTTGTAATTTTGTATGATCAATGAAAGACAATTCAGTGTTTAAAGATATAGCAGTTTCACTTGGTTGGATTTAAAGAGAAAAAAATGACATGAAGGCAAAAAATGCTGATGATTGAATATTCTGATTTCACCAAGTACATTTGCAAGAATGGTATAATTGCAACCACCATTTCAGATTTGGAGGTGGTAGTGGCTTGCCTAAAGCCTTTGGTTCATCAAAGTTTGGAGATAGAGGAGGCCCTAGAAGTGGGGGAGGAGGAAGATTTGGAATGGACCGAGGTGGAATGCGAGGAGGTAAAATGGGTAAAGGTCATCAACCAGGAGAAAATCTACGCAAGCCAAGGTGGGACCTGTCAAGATTGCCAAAGTTTGAGAAGAATTTTTATGTGGAACACCCAAATGTATCCAACAGATCACAGGTTAGTATTCCACTATGCAATGATTGTCTTTAACATAACTGTATATCATATATGATGTGCACTATTTTCTTAAGAGGGATGTACATTATGCAACAAAAACACATCCAACAAAAAGTAACACCCATTTTTATGTGCTGAACTTGTAAAAAGAATTCTGTCATGTCAAAATAGTAAGAATAGAATACTTAGTTGATTTTACAGAAAAGCCAATTTCATTTGTGATGGAAGAAGAAAATTTGCAACATTCCAGTTGTATAATCCTAATTTTTTTATGCATAGAACATTGGTATCAACAATTATTTGAATAATAATCAGCTATAATCCTTGTCCTCAGTAATTTCAATATTTGGTATACTATTCAAAAGTTTAATACATGAAATAAACACACAGCAGTATTGATAAATTATAAACTTTATTGCAGATGGAAATTGAACAATTTTATAATGAACATGAAGTCACAGTCAAGGGATTAAATATTCCAAAACCAATTTTCACATTT